AACCCATTACTTTGTGTGATATAATCCATCAACTACCATCAAGGATAACCTACGCAACAGACGATTTCGCTGGTAACCAAACAACCAGCAAAACGGTCATCTTCAAATCAGGTTACGACTTTTATAATAGGATGTCTCTACAGAAATTTCCCGCGGTAACTTAGTACTGCTCAGAGACCACACAGTTCGTCCAAAATTCGAACACTGGTAAAAGGGTCTCATTGTCGTGAAATTTACGCCATGTTTCAATTACTAAGCTCATTGGACAACTAACCAGACTGTCCATATGAATAGATTGAAAATCTATTCCCATTATTCATCATTGGCTAAAATTTCCCCTCAAGAACTAAGTTAATATCCGCAGCAATGGAAACTTTAAAAAATGAGAAAAGAGAAACAGCTACAGTCTGTACATCGATCAATCTTTCGGCGATCGCATCGTTTACAGCTGAAAAGACCATTCTTTATATAGGATGAATCATCGTCCTCATGGGAAAATTAACCTCTTAAAAAACCAATCTATTTTGTATAAACAGTATTCATTATTCTCCGGAAGTAAGTTTAAGTTATTGTTTCGCCGTATCGCGCTCAATTATTAATTACTTTTTTGACTGGGCAAGCAACATGCCAGAAACACCATCGTCCGACTAATTCAGTCGCTGGGTGGGCTCCCTGATCCACATAAGATCAGCGATTACCTGTGGTGAAAGCTTGGCAGGTCGTGGTAAGGCTCTGCTAATGTTTGGGGAGATTCCTTTACTCATTGCCCTTACAGCATGTAATGGGAAAGAAAGCCCTGCAGATGATCACATCTACGGCGTCGGATGTCATCAAGAGCAGTTTCAGGTTGCACAAGACGCCATGAATTTCGGACCAGAAGGACACGTTAACGACTCGCCATGGAGATGTCTCATGCTCTGCACCTATGAAATCAAGACTTTCTCCACTAACGCCGATCTCCACGTCCTTCTCGAAGCTGCAGGACGCATCAAAAGAAAGTCCAGAAAGATCGGCGTGAGGCAGCTGAGTGATGGCACATCATCGTTCGTCGTGAGAAAGTTCTATCACGGAACGTTGGAGGCGTTTGTCGTACACCCTTTTGTTGTCCATCTTGTCAATTCGCATTAGATCCTATCACCTCGCCTGGCTATCCTTCGACTCCGTCCTCTGCATCAGGAAACCATCACTATCATCATCTGCTATTCTCCAACGTCGGCAGCTGATGATTCGGAACTTGATGTTTTTATGAAAATTTGGAGAAAGTCATTTGCAAAGAAATCTCCCTCAATAAGTTCGTCGTGGTGACTTCAATGCGAAATCGGGATGCCAGAAGAAATGGAGTACACAATCGAAAGGTTTTGATCCGGAGTCCGGAGTGAGAATGGTAAACGTCTTGTTGGGCTCTTATCCGTCGCACGACTTTTTCATGGCAACTCCACCTTTATGAAGAAAGAACACCGGCGCTGGACATGGGAATCACCCAACAATACGTCTCATGCGGAGATCGACCACATTCTCACCAGGGCTGACGTATTCCTTGCACGGATGGACCAGCTGAATTCTCAGCTGGTAACGAGTAATGGATCTGGACCTCGCGAACATCGCCG